CTTGCTAGTTCCCGTTGATTACACGGGTCTTTTTGGTAAGATCTGTGAACTCTTGTCAAATTTTTCGTGCTGTTGTATAGCATGATAGGAGTTCGCAGACGTCTAGTTGAGATTCAGCAGTGTTCGATGGGAACTAGCAAAATGCCTCCCACCAAGCCAAAATGCGCTTGCGAAGAATTACTTAGTGTCCCCTTTCAAGGCTATAAGGGCCCGGTTTTCTATTCACTTTCTTCTAGGAAGATGACTGGGATGCTATTGAGTCATTGGACAATCCTTATGCTGTCGAAATTGGCAGATTTCGAGCTGGCGGAGCATCTCGAAGCACAAGAAAGGGTGAGAGGTTGTGCTTGTTTGCTGCTACTTTCAATAGCTTTTTGTCGAGTAAAATTTTTGTGAATTTCATGTCGGGTTGCAGGAGGATATAGGCGGGATTAGAATGTTTCATGTGTTCCATTGTACTTAAAGAGCCTCTAAAGCCGTTTAACCATAACTTTAATTATTTATCAAGGCTTCCTCTTTGGAACATATTTTCAGCATTTCACGTTTTCAAAAAAAATAAGTGTTCCTTCATTCCCTTGATTTCTGTGCCTGTAACGATCATCAACGAATATTCAACTTCAGGCGTGTACTTTGATGGCTGTGTTGCGCGTTGTTGAAGCAGCACATGCACGTCGTGAGAAGATCGCTGGCGATGTTGCCCGTCTGTATGAAGGTGAATTAAATCCTGTTGCACCAAAGGCACAACGGAAGGTGCCAGTGCCAGATGGGTAAGCGTGCACTACATTTTCATTGATTACCATAATCTTAATATCGCCACGTGATTTGATTAACAAGCGGAAATAGCAGTTCTTTCCTGAAGGCGTTGGAAATCACATTCATTTCAGTCTGGATCTTGACCAGTGGATTGGCGAACCATGGCAAGATACACCAGAGTCGAGTGAAGAGAGTGATGTTGACGCAACATTTGGACAGGTAAACAGTACCAAAATCATTTTTCTTGTTTATCTTTGTATGGTGCACGAAAAAAGATCACGGAGAGTCACTGCCTCTGGCGCTTAAAAAGGTTTTTGTCGAGTGAAATTTTTTGAAGCTTACGCCTTACGTAAACTACTGCCGTTACAGCCTGTTCCTCGAATTCGAAGTGAGTTCACAAGTTTTGGTGTCGTTCCTCAGTACGAAGATGAACCCAAGCTTGGAGAAAAATCGAAAAAGGGCAGAAAGAAGGTATTTTGCTTGTGTTCCTTCAATTTCTGTTTTTTTTGAAGCCATGCTTTACTAGTGAATATTTTTAGGAGGTCAAGGAGTTAAGTCCTGAAGAGATTGAGCGACGTCGCAAAGCACGTGAAGCGGAACGAGAAAGTAATCCATACTATGTGAAAGGAACAGCGACTGCTCCAAAACGTCCAACACGTTTCGTTGCCCTTGAATCTTTGCATTCTAACGATGTGGACAAAGTCGACATTCAAAGTCCCTTGGAAATTCCTGGTAAGTTCCTTTTGGTACAGGTGCCACACTGCAGCCCAGGGGTAGGGTCCCAAGTTGTTGTAATGTTTCTCAGAAGTAGTAGGATCTTAAAATGGGGCCAACTTCGCGTCAGTGTTCTGTGCATCTGTCAGCGCTCTGAGTTTTGTCTTT